GAAGCCGGCGACAGGCCGGCGGAAACCGGCGGAGGGAACGGAGGCGCCCCGAAGAGATGGCAACCTTGTGGCAGACTTGCTGGGTTCAGGATTTCGTGGACTGGGCCACGTAGGTGTGTGTGTGGCGTCTTCCGCCGACCGCTTGGTGGCAAGGGGGCCAGATCACGCGACTCGGTGCGTTACGTCCAGACCAAGGAATCGCCAGACAGCGAGTTGGACTGCCATCGTTGGATCTTTGCCGTCAACTTTCGCCAGGAGCTGCGCCAGGCTTCCCTGACGCTCCGCGAGAACGGGTGCCTGCAAGCTCTGAGCATCCAGACCAGCCAAGATGCAACGCCCTGCAACCGCGCCGCCAAGGACGTCGAGCGGTTGGCATTCCGTTCGGGGTGCGGGAAGGGGGGTGGGGGCCAAGGCGAAGACGAAGGCTGGCAAGTAGGAGCGGGCACCGGCTCACACGAAGGCGGCTCGCCTGGAGCCGGCCGACCTGTCCCACGGTTTCTCGACTCTCCCCCGGACGCAGTGCGACGAGGTTGAGTCAGAGTAGGGGATCCGATCAGCACTTAATCTCTCCATCTTTTTCGCTCGAGTTCGGGTGGCCAGTGAGTTTTTGGAGCGGGGGGCTTGCACTTGTCCGGCGCAGTCCCGTAGCCCTCCCAGGATCGGAGGATGTGTCATCCTCGCAGGGGCGGGGGTGCGCCGGGGCAAGACGTTAAGCTCTTTCTTCCAGCACTTTGGCAGTGCAAGCTCGCCTGTCGTCCATCTCACGCGTCTCTGTGGGCTCACATCGATCACATATCCGATGGCGCCGCGATTGCGGTTGGCTTTCAGCTAGCCTTTCACGAAACTTCCAGAGCCAGCCTGACCCAGCAGGGGGTAATTAGTGCGACCAAGAAAGGAGGGCCGACGGAAACCAACGGAAGTAACGGATGCGCCCCGAAGAGATAGCAACCTTTTGGCAGTTTTTGTTGGGTCCAGGTTTTTTTTTGGAGTGGGCCACGTAGGTTTGAGTGTGTGTGTGGTGTTTTCAGCTGACGGGTTGGTGGAAAGGGGGCCAGATCACGCGACAAGTCACTATTACCCCCTGTGCTAACCCAATGCGAATGTGGCTGACCCGTGAAAAGAACTTTTTGGCCTCTGTTTTTCCCTTTGGCTGCAGCCGTTCCTGCGATGTCTGACGGTTTTGTTGGGTGAGAACGCTTGCCTCGCGTGAGTCCTAGATCAGCCCTGGCATGCTGATCTCGACCCAGTGTATGTGGGAACGAGTCTGTGAGAGAGAGAAAGGGAACAAAGACAAAGCGTGCGTGCGTTTTTGGTTTGCATGCACGTGTGTGTGTGTGTGTGTGTGTGCCTGCTCCTTGCAGCCGCCTGGTTCGCCCACCCCCTCAGCTGCGTCGCCGCCGCTGGCCACCGCCCCCCGCCGCTGCCCCGCCGCCGCCTGGCCCCGTTCTGAGCGGGCCCGGTCTCCCGTCTCCCTCCTGCCCGCGCCGGGCGGCCTCCTCCCTCCCCCGTGCATTGCTTCTCAATTCGCGTTTTGTGTGCCCCACTAATGCTTCATCGCCAGCGAAGTGACTCTGCCTAGCCGCCGACGCAAAAAGTAAGTGTGTATGTGTGTGTGTGCGTGTGCGTGTGCGTGTGCGTGTGTGTGCGTGTGTGTGTGTGTGTGCTTGTGTGTGTGTGTGTTTGTGTGGGTGTGCGCATGCGTGTGCGTGTGCATCTGTGTGTGTGTGTGTGTCCCAGCCATCGGACAGTCCCAGGTCACAGTTCGGAAGCAAAAACCAGTGTCAGCCGGCAGGCCACTGCAAGCCCCGCAGGGCCTGCTCCGGAGGGCCACGGAGGCCCGAACCAAGGGGGGGAGCAGCAGCGCGACACACCCCGAGGCACCCAGGAAGGCCACTTGAGGCCAGCCCGGGGTCAGAGCGCTGCCCGATACTGGCGGAGCACTGCGGCTCGAGTCCCAGAGAGCGAGGCGACCTGCACACAGGCCGCCCTCCGAGCCCAGGCACATCGGCCCGAGCTCACAAGAGGACCCAGGCACCTCGGCAGGTGGCCAAACGGGCCGCCCCCTGGAGGGGCTCAGGCGGCCCCCCAGGCTGCACCGGCAACGGTATATCCGCGCCCCATGCAGTGAAGTCCTCGATCTCACTATCGATCTCACTCAACGGGACACCACGGGACACCACTGGCCACCACGGGACACCACGGGACACCGCGGGACACCTCTCGACCTCAAGGCCCCAAAGGCCAGCCTAGCTGCTCACAGTCGGACCAGCACACGGCGCGAAGCGCACGAATCAGGAGAAGCACAGCACAACATGTAAGCCTCAACTCACAGCATCGCCATCTCCTGGGCGCCACCGAGGCCACGCTAAGTCCTCAATGTCCACGCCGAAGGCCCCCTCGAGGTCGAACCCGTTCGACTCGTAGGGCTCATCATCGTCGTCGAGGCTGAGTCATCCCAGCGGCACAGCGGCATGGCGGGCAGCGCCACGGTCTCCTGGTCGGCCACGGCCTGCACCCCCACAGGATGACCGACGTCCGAGCCTCCACGAGGGTCAGCGCCGTCGTCACGCGCCACGGGCCAGGCTTCGAGGGCTGCGAACGCAGCGTCGTACCCCTCGCCCTCGGGGACCCTTCAGATCTGGCCGTGCAGCATGTCACCCTGCTCCTCCAGGTACGCCACCCTGTCGCTGAGCAGGTTCACGGCCGAGCGAATTTCACCGCCTCCAGCGCCAACCAGAGGATCCTCAAGACGACACCCTCGAGCGACATGCCGTAGACCTCCACACGGACGTACGGGAGGAATGGCGACGTACCCCACGCCACCGCCCTTGAGCTCCGCACGTCCAGCGCCACCAGCTGCACGAACAGCTTGGGGGGTCAGCACGAGCATCCAAATCAGAGCCTTCCGCAAGACCCGCAGATAGGAACTCGCTCGAGAGCTTTTCCTCCGAGACCGCCTCCGCGGACGAGTTCGCCTTCTCCGACGGGTCGACGGCCTGCTCCGACGAGCTCCTTCCCTCAGACGAGTCCGCCTCCAGCTCGGGCGGCACCGCCCCCGCCAGCACGGGGACGGTCGGGACCGGAGCACTCGGCCTCCCCGAGCCGCCGCCGTCGCTCCTCCCAGTCTCCAGGAGGCCCGCGCCCGGCGAGGAGGGATGGGAGGAGACGGGGGCCGCCTCCTCCTCCACGCCCGTCTCGCGGCTCCTCGGGCTACGGCCGCGCCTCTGGGCCTCGCGCGCCGTGCCGGGCATCGCACCCGCGCTGACGCCGAACTCGGCGTGCTGAGCCTGGTCACGGTAGGCCTTGACACCACCGGAGGGGCGAGGCTGCACGCCAGCACGGCCAGCCGCGACCTGCTCCGCGATGTCTTCGCCCGCCGAGGCGACGGGACTCTACAGGGAGAGAACCACCGCGCACCTGCTGCCTGGCGCCCAAGGCAGGCTTGATCCCAAATGGCTACGGATGTGTGTGTGTGTGTGTGTGTGTGTGTGTGTGTGTGTGAGTGTGTGTGTTACTGTGTGTGTGTGTGTGTGTGTGTGTGTGTGCGTGGGCGTGGGCGTGGGCGTGGGCGTGTGCGTGCGTGCGTGCGTGCGTGAGTGCGTGCGTGCATGCGTGTGTGTGTGTGTGTGTGTGTGTGTGTGTGTGTGTGTGTGTGTGTGTGTCTCTGTCTGTGTCTGTGTCTCTGTGTGTGTGTGTTTGTGTTTACGTGGGTAGGTGTGTCTGAGTGTGTGTGTGTGTGTGTACACGTGTGTGTGTGTGTGTGTGTACGTGGGTAGGTAAGTAGGTGTTTAAGTATGTATGTGTGTACCTCACCTGAGGTGGTCTGCTCCGGCTGTCCGCTCTCGCTCGTCTGGAGGTCACTCGCATCTCGGCACCACGGTCCGCCTCGCTGTGCTGCTTCTGCCTCCAGCTCGCGCTGGACCTGCTGCCTCCCCTCCTGGGCGCGTGCCCGGCAGCCTCCAGCAGAGGCCTTCCCGCCTTCCCCGCGGAGGCGCCAACCAGCAGGAGCCCACGGCGGAACGTCACAGTGCGCAACACGTTCGTCGAGGTAAACGATGGCACGGGGGCCCGCGGCTCGCCAGGGCGCCAACTCCGTACCGCACGGACGGCGACGAGCCGGTGCTCGAGCTCCGCATGGGCGAGCTGACAGTGGACATCGAGCGCCACATGGAGATCGATGCGGGCACTCCCGCTGAGGAGTCCCGCAGCGCCGCTGCATTCGCAGAGATACGGGGCTCTGCTGCGCAAGAGCCGCCCTCCGCCGCCGCTGCCGCAGGCGCCGCCGCTGCCGCCGGCGCGGCGTCTTCCAGCGCCAGCGCTGCCCCTGCGCGAATGGCGGTCGACGCCGGCGTCCAGCGACGTGGGGCCAGCAACGACGAGGACGTTTGTCTGACGTGCCGCTCCGCTCTCACGTGGTGCAGGTGCTCGCGAACTGCCGCTTCCCGCCGGCGCCTCGAACCCTCCGGGTCCGGCGCCCGCCGCCCCTGCTGCCCGCCCCTCGCCATCACCGCCGCCTGCTGCTGCTGCGGCTGGTGGCTGGCCGGCCTGCGGCGCGCCCCCCGCATTCGCCCGGGCGCGCGCCGCCGCGCGGGCTTCCGTCTTGCCCGAGCACGCCGGAGAAGCACTGCCGCAGCCTCCCGACCCAAACGCCGCCCCACATGTGCCCTTCCGCAACGGACACTACTGGTGCCCATGGTGCCCAGACCGTGGCCTCCGCACGCCTGGCGGTTTCGTGCAGCACCTCACGGCGGCGCGCACAGGTCAGGCCATGGACGCCAACATGCGGGACACGGTTGTCGCCCTCCAGCGCAGCGTCTGCGCCGACTCCACTTGTGGCGGCCTCCGGCCCACTCCGAGGTCCACGCTGCCTTTGCGCGACTTCAGGCTCCGCCTGCGCCATTCACTAAGTTGGGTGCCTTTCCTCGCACGCCGACTTGCATTGCGCAGTTCATCCACCGGCTACGCTTGGTGGTATTTTGACGTTATAACTAGTGCCTCTTTCTATCACTCGCGATGGTGCCTTCACTTTGCCGGAGGAGGAATATATATATATATATATATATATATATATATACAAGTGGCACGTGTGTGCCCAGGCTCATACAACAAACTGAAGGGGCGTTTGAAGCAGGAGTGAAATGCAACATCGAAGTCGCACTCGAGCGCAAGTGGGGTTGCCACACCTTGCGATGTGTGTACCAGGCCCCCAGGAAGCCTTAGGAGGCCCGACTTGGATACCAGAAGAGGCTCCAGGAGGCCCCAGGATTGTGAGTGTTGTGCGTGTGTGTGTGTGTGTGTGTGTGTGTGTTTGTGATGTATGCTTCGTGTGGTGCGTGCTTTTTGTGTGTTGTAGTGTGTGTGTGTGTGTGTGTTATGTTTGTCTAGCGTGTGATGTGTTGGGCGTGATTTGTGTCTCTGTGTGCATGTAGTTCTGAAGCCCCAGGAGGCCCCAGGAGGCCCCAGGCGGCCTCAGGAGGCCCCAGGAGACCCCAGGAGGCTTCAGGAGGCCCCAAGAGGCTCCAGGAGGCCGCAGGAGGCCCCAGGAGGCCCCAGGAGGTTTCAGGACACCCCCAGGAGGCTCCGAGGCGGGGTCTGGGGTGCCAGAAGGTTCAGAAGGCCCAGGAGGCCCCAGGAGGTTCCAGGAGGCCCCCAGGAGGCTCCGAGGCGGGGTCTGGGGCTCGATTTTGGAAGGATTTTTCAAGCGAAACCGCCATTCACTGAGAATCGGGGTCACAATTATTGAAATTACCATGTGTTTTTGAAGGTTTTATGTTAAAATGTTGAATTTCCCATGTGTTTTTGGACCCTGACGTCGCGATCTGCGTGAGGGGTGCCACCGATTTTCAGAATTTCGAGGATGTCCCGAGCGAAACGCCCAGAAAAATCGCGGACGCGTGCGCATTAATCGCCTCTGAGCTCTACTCCCTCGGAGAGGTGCGTATGAGAATATATATATATATATATATATATATATATATGTGTGTGTGTGTGCGTATGTGAGCGCTTGCGCCCCACGTGCGGATCAAACCCAAGTTGCGTCTCCCGGTCGCATACAACGCGTTCGGGTGGCTCATCGCCAGATGAGTACAAGGGTGCGCGTGCGTGGTGGCCCGTCCCTCATCCATGATTTCGCAGTTGCGGGAGTTCAATCGTCGTACGTACGTGCGATTGCAGTTTCTGCTGGAACTCCCCGTTGACATATATGTTGCGGCACGTCGCCAGAAGAGGACCAGTGTGCGTTTGTGGTGCGTGAGGTCTAGCGCTGGTTACTGCTGTGGTATTGGAGGCACGATGCATTCGCCATGCGAAATGGGTGCGCGGATGACTGGGTGCAGAGATGAGCTACGGCAACTGCCTGACCGTTGATAGGGGACTGTATGTACGCGGGGCTACACTGCTTCTGCGGGCTGGGCCATAATAGAAAACAGCGGAGCAATTATGGTGATCGCAGTGCGGAAGGCGTTCACGGAGATGTCTCACTTTGAGTTTTTTCGACATTGTGATACATCATGCCCTATTCACACGGTTTTCTGCGGCGATTCAGCCGCGAGTTTGTCTTTTTTTCTGAGACCCGTAGTGGTGGTCAATTGGCTCTCTGCCTTGTACGCAGATGCAAACGAGCTGTTTCACATGAGCCTCCTTTGTCTGCGTGATCGTTGGGTGCCCCCTTACAAAGTTCACTTGGCGTTTAGAGTAGGTTCGCTGACGATGTTGTGTACGTCGGCCAGCTGCGAAGGGTGTCAGTGTTTTTCCTATTGCTGGAAGTCCGCAAAGGGGCTGGATGTTTGGACGTTTGTCCATGCCAGAATGAGGAACACATTCTGATTTGTACCACAGCGCACGGGGTCTTTGATATGGCTTGTGTATCGCTTGCCACTGGTGCACATGGGCTTCATTTTTGCAGGTCATGCTTGCAGTTGGTATGGGTACCCCTCCGTGTACGTCGAGACGGGGCGTCCAGCGGCTCAATGTGAGCTATGTGGTAGTTGGCGACGCCCCCTGCTGGCTTGCCATTTTAGCTTGTACGATGCATACCGTGCTCTCTACGAATTCCTCGACATAAGTGTCGTGCTCGTGAGCCTAGCTACAGTTCTGTGCTACTTCAATTGGGGGGTCCTGACTTTCGGTCGGTCTCCACACGGCTCATTGCGCCACTTCGACTGCGACGATTGCGCAGGTGGCTTGGCAACTTGTTCGCTTTGTCTCGTGCCGATTGTGTGCTGTGGGATGTGGGCTGCAGGTGCGATTCATCACTATCGTTCATGATTCAAGTAGCTCGGCTCGGCGGCGAACCCAGGGGGGAGGTGAGAAGGGGCTGTCTTTCTCACTCCCCCCTGGGCGATTGAGTGGGCGTGGGAGTAATACATCTATATATATAGATGTATGCTATAGTATTCGTTCCCCGATCATTGCGTGGGGCCTTGCGACTGTAGTTGCACGCGCGCGAGCTAACAGGGACAGCATCGAAACATCTGGATGGTGAAGCTGGAAAGTTAGTTGCTTGCGTCCTGCGATAGTTGTCGCCTCTGCGCAAAAGTGTGTGTGTGTACATGGGTGCGCGTGCGCGGGCGAAACTATATACGTAGCCACTTTGGCTTCAACTGGCCCAGGCCGAGTCACAGCTGGCCCCATTGTACAAACGGGTTTTCCATGTGGGCTGACTTGACGCCCCGATGCCTTTCTCCGTCGAACACCTCAATGTTTGCGCTGATCTCGTGGCCGCAGCCACGGACTTGGAGAGCGCCGCATACCACCTGGCACCAGTGTTGGCGGTGCTCGAGTCTCCTAGGGAGATGGGCCAGTCGTTCTTGCGGGGGCTAGGCGACGAAACCCATTGCGATTATGCAGGGATCCATGGGACCTTCGAGAGGTTATGCTCCAAGGGCACCAACCGTTGGGCGGCCGAAATGTCAGAGAAGATCCGTGACGTCGCGCTGCAGGTGTTCCCGGACAGGCTTGGGACCACTGCCGACGACGAGTCTGACCGCAGTAGGCACGCCGAGCTGGAAGACACCTTGCCTGAGCCTGCGTTGCCAACGCCCGCGACCGCGGCTCACGTTGGTGTGCAGTGCGGCTGGGTCGCAGCGATGCTTGCCGCGCTGTTGCCGCTCATGGAAGATTCGCTCCCCCGCGACGCCAACGGCATCAGCGTGATTCCCCACAGGCACAGCATGGAAGTAGTTGTGTCCAGCGATGATTCAATGTACTTCACAGGTTTGGGCCGCCTGGCTTACCAGACGAACAAGGTCTGCGACAATTGCCAGAAGCGGATCCAAGACCGGCAGTTCTACCACTGCTCCGCGAACTGCGACATCGACTTTTGCGAGAACTGCTACCGGAAACTCGAGGGCGTCTTTGCTGCCTTCTTTGATGGCGAGGCCGACGAGGGCGACCGCGACCGTAGGTACAAGCAGCTGGAATGGGTGATCATTCTCAGCGAGCGCGTGGCTGCCCACGTTTTGAGCCAAAGTCCAGCCAGCCGGTTAAAGCTCGCCCAAGAATTTGCTTTCGAGTGGCCGACGAACTTGTTCTACCGATTCATACGTGCAGTTGTTGATGTTGTGAATGCCAGGGTTGTGCATGTACAGGATGTGAAAGATATCAAGGCTGACGAACGATTCTGGTACACAGTCGGGCTGCTCCAATTTTTGTATTCCGCCAACACGCTGTCCTGCAGCTCGTCGGGGATCGACGGGGACGAGCCCCGGGGGCCCAAGGTAGACCACGACTTGTTCATCCTGGAGGGTATCAACAAGTGCGAGCCCTTCTCGGAATGGCACCGGTGGCGCGAGCACCCCAGCGCCAAGGTTCCGGACGTTCTGGCCATAGATTTCTTCAGCCTGTCCACGGACTTCTGCTCGTTCCTCACGCACAATAATCTCGTTCCCGTCAGTTTCCTTCGCGTCTGCCTCCTGGCCGACGTCTGGGAACAGCTCCAGGTGGGGATGAGCCGCCTTGCGCCGTTGCAGATCGAAGTCCGGCGCGACCCAGCCCACCTTCTGGAGGACGTGCTGCGGAATTTCGAGGACAAGAGCGACAGCCAGCTGCGGAGGCCGCTCTGTGTCACCTTCGAGGGCGAGGAGGGCGCTGGCCCAGGCGTGGCCAGGGAGTTCTTCCAGGTAGTGCTGAGGAGCATCCTCGACGCCGACGCTCCCCTGGCACTCTTCAGGCACAATGAGCTTCAGCGGACGTACTGGTTCAATGAGGACACCGACAACTACAGAGCGTTCCGTGCTTGCGGCATCCTTCTGGGACAGGCCGTGCTGAATAACACGCTGGTGCCAAATATATTTCCACGGGTCCTGTACGGATGCTTGCTGGAAGACCTGCAGTCCCCGTGCGCACGCCCGATCACCCTGGAGGACCTGGCAACGGTCAGCAGGGAGACTGCACAGAGCTTGCAGAGGATCCTCGACTACACCGGCGACGACATCGGCGATGTGTTCGGGGAGCTGGACTGGGGCTCTCTTGGCTGCAGGCTCGACGGCAAGGTCCTCGCACAGAGCAGCAAGGCCCAGTTCGTCCAGGCCCACGTGGACTGGTTCATCCGCCAGCGCTTCGCCGCTCAGCTCGCCCCGCTCAGCGAGGGCTTCCGGGCCATCCTGGGCTGCTCGGCGCTGCTCCAGAGCATGGTGGACGCCGTGCAGCTCGAGAAGATAGTCTGCGGCGGCTCCGTGCCCGTGGACGTGGCCGCCATCCGGAGGGGCGCCGCCCACGAGGGCTGGAGCCTCGACGAGGAGTCGGAGTATCTCCAGGACTTCTGGGACTGTGTCGCCGGCTTCCCCGAGACCGAGAAGGTATCCAGATGCCTGCGGCGAGTCCCTTCACAGTGCCAGCGCAGCATTCTGGGTGGCGGCTATGCGAGTGCGCACGGGAGGCCGTCACGTGTGACAACTCGAGTCTTTCGTCCATGAGAAGATTACATCCCTTGGCATTATACCGCGTCTGAACGTGCCAGGGGGTACGGTGGCGGACAGTTTGTCATGTTCGTCACCGCTAGCGATCGCGTGCCCCTGCGAGGGTGGCAAGAGCTCAGCCTGATCGTCCAGAAAAACGGCGTGGGCGACGAAAGATTGCCCACAGCCCACACGTGCTTCTGCCAGCTACTCTTACCGCGATACTCTTCCAGAGAGAAGCTGGAGTCAAACCTGCAGCTGGCCATCGCGAACAGCCAAGGTTTTGGACTGAGGTGACGCGTCATGCGACGACCTTGGAGGACTGGAGCGCGGGGAAACCGCTGCACTGTAGCGACCAGGGCTTGAGTGAGGCGTTGCTGCTGCGTCGTAGCAACTGAGACCTGGGAGAGGGGATTGGACAATCATGTTGGCGATCCCCTCGAAATTGGATATTCCGAGTCGTGTTGGCCGAAGGACCTCACATGAAGTATCGACTGTGTGGATAATGGGGTAGATGATGGGGTATGCTGGGTCCGCAGTGGCAAGGGCGGAAGTGGTAATGCTCTTGATAATGACCACGACGACGACTATAGTCATGAAGATGTCGATGTCGACTTGGGTTTGGGCGGGTCATTTGGCCGCGAACAGTGGCCAATTCGAGCATTGAGGAGCACCGCGCAAGCTAACCGACGGTTGCGGCGACGATAGCGATGAGGATGTCGATGATGACCATTCCGACGCCCCGGATATGGAACGATAGCGATCATAATCATGGTGCAAGCGTGTGCAATCCACGATAATCCTTGTGGGGGTAGCATGTTCGTTCATCGAAATCCCAGAACTCGTGTGGATAGTCCTTGTTGGAAGGCCTCACTTCGAGATGAAACGATGTAGTATTTGTGCCTCGCTGGACGGGGCGCGAATGAAGCGTCTACACGAGGCCCACTTCTGAATCCACATGGAAGACGAAAACGCTCCACACAACAGCGAACGCATCACCCACATCAGTGTGCAGTTATCCTAGCGGGCAACGAAGAATATGGTCATTACGATCTTGCGTCCTGACAGCTCGTTCCTTGGCCCAATCATAGAACCGTGCACACATCCTACCTTGAATCTTTGCATGAGCATTGTAGACAGCGTCGCCCATGTACAACAGTGTGATAGAGGTGATGCGTTCCATACGTGTTGCAAATGCGCATGGATTTCGGCATCCAATGGAACAGGTTGAGAGATCTTGCTTCAAACCGTTTTTACCTGAGAGTTACCTGGGCCACAATGTTGTGGTGTCGTTCGAATCACGGCGGTGATGCGGCCAGATGTGGTGACGATGAAGACGACAACGCCACTGTGCGGAAACCAGTGCTGCTGCAGGTGACTATGGTAGGTTGGCCTGGTACTATAGCCACGGGTTTGGACACTGCAGTCTCGCCACCGTGCCAGCGCAGCACTCCGTGTGGCGACGCTTCGAGCACCTTCCAGAAGGCCGTGACACGTGGCGCCTCCCGCCTCTGTCCCCGGGCCGTCGTGGGGCTGCCTGGGCTTCCCTTGGGGGGACCTCTCGGGGTCCTCCTGGGACTCTCTTGGATCGTCTTGGCGTCCTCTTGGGCCGTCTTGGTGTCGTCTTGGGCCCCCCTCGGCGGTCTGGGGAGCCTTTTGGGGGCTGTCTCGGGAGCCTTTCGGGGCCCTCTCGGGCCATCTTTGGATGCGCTTGGGCTGTCCTGGGTGCTTCTTGGGCCATCTTGGGGCTTTCTTGCAGCTGGTCTCGGTCGTCTGGGGGACCTCTTGAGGCCCTCATTGGGCTCTTTTGGCTTCTCTTTGGCTCCTCTTGTGCCCTCTTTGAACCATCGAACCATCCTGAGTCGAGGGGTCCAGGCAACGCAGCATGCTTTTTCAAAGCTACGGATGTCCTGTGGCTTGAATGAGTTTACTTTTTGATGGACTGGCAGTCTGTTGGGGCTTCTCTGGCGCCTCTTCGGATCTTCTGCGGGGCTGTTGGATGTCTCTTGAGGCAATGTTTAGCCGTCTTGGCGGCCTTAGTGGCCTTCCTGGGCAGTCTGAGAAGCCTTCGAGAGCGTTGGAGACCCCCGGGGACGAGTCGGGGTGCCTAGGAAGCCTCGAGAGGGGGGGGGGCCTTGTGCACGTGACTGAGCGTGATAACAGGCGGGGCGTAGATGATTTACAGAAACCCTACCAGGTAGCCCTTGGCATTCTACTACGTCTCAGCGTGCCAGGAGGCACGGTGGCATCTTCGAGTTTCAGGTCCAACGCAGGTGCGTCGATAGACCGCACATGGGGTCCTGATGCTATGAGTGGTAATTGTCGCGAGACGACGATGGGAACCGCCAAAGGAGTCGGAGGAAGGAGCATGTTATTCCATTTTGCGTGCAATTGCGATGGGGACGACTATGATGATGATGATGATGATGATGATGATGATGATGATGATGATGATGATGATGCTGATGATGATGATGATGATGATGACGAGGATGCTGATGATGATGATGCTGCTGCTGATGATGATGATCATCATGCTGATTATGTTGATGATGATGATGATGAGGCTGATGATGATGATGATGCTGATGATGATGATAATGATGCTGATGATGATGTTGCTGCTGCTGAGGATGATGACGATGATGGTGATGATTATGACGATGATGATGACGGTGATGATGACGATAATGTGGAGATCTTCCAAAAACGAGGACGAAGGCGAACTGATGACAAGGCTCTCGCAGTAAGAAGGACCTTCATGATGATCCCCAGGCTACTCAGACCCGCAGGTCATCCCTAATTCCCAAAGTGTTGATTAGTGCTGTTAGGTTTTGGGGCCAGGAGACATGAATGAAGCGCGCCCGAGACTGACTGGACGGTTGTAGCCACGACGAATATTGTGGCGACGATGGCGACGTGCTCCTTGACACAAGAACGTAGGCAGAAGTTCGAGCAACCGCAGCTGTTGCCATTTGGGTAGTCTGCAATTCTGCATCGTCCTTTCGATTCAGCAGCCCGCGCGGTTTCTCTCTGAGATGCAGAGGCCAGTGCTGTATTTTGCCGAGCGCCCGTCGGCGCATATCCTTTCAGCGTTCGATCCTCATTGCGTCTGTCGCGCGCCTTCGGGGCTGATTCATGCTGATCGCTCGACCCCTGGGCCTTGCGGATCGTGACTTGCTGGAAGGCCTCCTGGGCGGGCCTGCTTGCGGTTTGGGGGGCATCTGGGGGGGGGAGTGGGCAGGCCCCGGGGCCCCTTCAAGTTCCCCACGTGCGGATCCCTCTTTCGGCCTTATAAGGGGGCGTGTCGGGCCTCTCCTGAGGGATCGGGGGCCGTGATGGGATGATGTTGAGAGCGACTTGAGCAGCCTTGGGTGCTCTGAAGACCGAAACCGCGAGAACCGTTTTTTTTGTCGAGGCCTCGTTGGCATGTCTTTTGCTTTCAGCTTACTGCCCCAGCTACAGCGACCTGCGCTCCGCCATGGTATCTCTTAACAGTGAATTGAACAGTGAATTGGCACTACGCCGTTGACACTACGTAACGCAGGGTGAGTTAACGCTACGCTGTTAGCATTACGTTGTTGGCATTCAAAGGAGAAACTGTACGCTTCTAATCTGTGACACTGCGCTGTTGACATTACGTTGTTGGCACTACGTTCTTGGCATCAAGAGGAGAGGCTGTACGCTTATAATCGGTGACAATGCGCTGTTGACGCTACCTTGTTGGCACTACGTTGTTGGCAAACATACGAGAGACTGTGCGCTTGTAATCTGTGACGCTGCGCTGCTGACACTACGTTGTTGGCACTACTTCGTTGTTGTCAGTTGGCATTATGCTGTTACTGCGCCGTAGGTTGACACTACGTTGTTGACACTACGCTGTTGACACTACGCTGTTGCTACGCCGTTGGTTGACACTGAGCTGTTGGCACTACGCTGTTGCTACGCTGTTGGTTGACACTACGCTGTTGACACTGCGCTGTTGACACTACGCTGTTGACACTACGCTGTTGACGCTACGCTGTTGCCACTGCGCTGTTGACACTACGCTGTCGACACTACGCTGTTGACTTAATTCACCTTTAAGACGTACTCTCCCGCTCCGCGAGCTGGAGGGCAGTGAAAACCCTGATTGAGCGCGGGCGCAGCCGGGTGCATACTGTCATAGGTTCCAGTCGTTTCGATTAGCCACTCGCCCGCCGTCCTGGTCTGCAGGCCGACCTCCGTTTTCTTTCCGACTCTGCTTGTTCAGGCCCATGCAATAGAGCTTAGAGTTTCCATCAGGATGTCGATGCCCTTTATGAGGTCGGGTGGCCTCGACTCTGTTCCGTCGTACACTCCTTCTTGCCTGCTTGCAGGTCTGCAATCGCGATGTTCCCTCGTAGTGTCTCCGCACGGCCCATCGAGCAACGCAGCATCCATGCCTGCCATGAGAAGCTCGAATCCAGAGTGGCCCATGCTGGCCAGAACGCGATGTCATTGCTGTATCTGCTTCTCTCTATATCTCGGGGCTGCGGTGCCACAACAGTATAGCTGTCTCTGCCAGCAGCGAAGCACAAGCGAGACCTCAAACCACTGTGGCGGGCCCGAGGGAGGGAGGAGACGGCATCGGCGTCAGACGATGAGGACGATGATTTGGGCACAGGATGTGCACCGCCCGTCAAGCACCCTTCCGCCACGCGAAGCGGGCCTCCGCCGCCGCGCAACTGTTGCGGCGGTGGCGGAAACCAATCCAGAACAGGGCGTGGGGGACCCCTTGTGGGTCCCTTCAAGGGTGGGCCAGCTTGACCCAGAAACACTCGAGCCCCCAGTGGGGTAGCGGGAGAAAGAGAGAGTTGAGGCAAGAGGTAAGAGCACGAGAGGGGAGCCCGCACATCTCCAGAGGCTGAGAATGCCTAGCGTTGACATGAAACAACTACGCTGTCTCTCCCAGCAGGGAAGCTCAAAGGAAAACCTTGGGCCACTGTGGCGGGCCCGAGGGAGTGGAGGTGGCATCGGCGTCAGATGATGATGGCGATGGCTTTGGCACAGGATGTGCACGTCGCGTCAAGCGCCCTGCCGCCACGCGAAGCGAGCCTCAGTCGCCCCCCTCAGCAAGGTGTCG